TGGTTGTAATGTGACAAAATATGGAAAAGTTCAAGGGGTATGAATACTTTTGCAAACCACTGTAGTTTTCGCTGTCATTTTTCATGAATGGACACTTCCTTGTGTCTGAGGCAGGAAACATAGCCTTATATGGTGTTTTTGGGGTGGTAATTATGCTAATCTCCTCTCGCGTGCACGAGCAGCTGGATACAAACAGGTGTAATTTACGCAGCTCATTTACACACTTTTCCTGAAGATAGAAGAGTTTGTTGAATCTGACATGACATGTTCGTACGAACCCTTCGTACAAACAAAAGTAAGAGAAATTTAGGATAAGAATACGAACATGTTCTTGCATGAGGCCCAATGTCTTAAAATAATACCTGAACTCTAAGCTAAGGTGAAGCCAGAGGTTCAGTCAGTGTTTTGTCTAAAAGCAGCAGTGTACAAAGAGTGAAGCATGAAACCATGTTATTGTGTTGAAGGGGGAACTGTCTCACCAGCACTGAGGTGGTGATGTTTGACCATGTGGCTCTTCAGGCTGCTGCGGGACAAGAAGTGCTTGGAGCAGTTGGCCACAGGACAGCGGGTCCTCAGGGTGTTGGAATCCTGTTTATGCTTCTTGGAGTGAATGTACAAGCTGCTGCGTGCTGAAAACTTTGCATTACAACCTGAGGAGAAGACAAGTTTTTACACAGTTCATGTCAACGACAACAGAACAGTTCACAGCTGAAGGAGTCATTCATGTAGTGCACCTTCAGCGTGGCACTGAAAGGGCCTGGTGCCCAAGTGAGTGATGCTGTGTCCTTTAAGGTGCTCGGCCCTGGTGAAGGACTTCCCACATCCCTCCTCTGTGCAGACAAATCGACGGTCATCTTCATGTTTCCTGACAGATTCAGAGACACAGATTCAGAACTCCTGAAGGACTTGACTTCAATTAGACAGAAGCTTGTTACTGTTCTGCTTTTAGAGAAAACATACCGTTTATGACGCAGTAATTTGGACATACTGGTAAAAGACCAGCCACAGCCTTCAGAGTCACACACAAAAGGTCTTTCACCTGCAGAAACAAAGGTAAAGGTTGATTTAAGGGTAACTACCATTAGAGCCTTAGTTAAGATTTTAATAGGGGTTATCACTACATTTTTGGCTTTTTTGGTAAGCTTTTTATTAACACAATGGCTGAAGCCACTGCGGACGGTCCGCCCATAATCACACAGAGCGAGGGACACACTGAGATGGAAACACACACACACACACACACACACAGTGCGTGCTCATGGACAAGAGGTTTTTGTAAGCAGAGTGTAGGTGACTACAATTATTTTATAAAACCAAAAAATAAATTATGCTGAAGTGGATAGAGGAGGTAGTGATCATTTTACTGCTTCAGTAGCTGTTTTTTTATTGTCACAATGTCCTGTAATTTTTATTTCCCTACGTAAATTTTATAGACTTCTGTAAGCTCCCACAAGTGAAATTACCAACATCCTACCAAAGTATTTTCTATCTATATATACCATGAGCATCAGAACCACTTTAAAAGTGGGGGGGACACACAGGTCAGGGTGGGGGGTCTGGGGCTCCTCCCCCAGAAATTTTGAATGCAATAGATGCCATTTCCTGCAGTCTGGTGGGTTTTTTCCAAGGTTCTTAAACATTCAATTACCTACATAAATAAACACTTGATTTAATATTAATTTCAGAGACAGATTCTTCATTAAACTAGTTCGATCATCCTGTTTAAAACTCACTGCTACAGCTGAGATAAGGTTAATTAATGTGACATAATTTAACATATCCAGTAACTTTAAGGCCTTTCACTTTTATATTGTTTTATTCTTGATTTATTTTGAATTGTAACATGTCAATGTGCCACTAAATGACCATTAACTGCATGTTTAAAACTAATAATAATAACTTTACCCAATGAACAGGTGCAATATTAATAACCACCAACAGTGAATTTAGAGGGGCATTTCACTTTTTATGATTTAGTGATAGGTTTACTCATAAAAGGAACAGGGCATCATGCAGCTTTCAGAACATAAAATGACACTGTGTTATGGTGACAAAAACATTAAATAAAACAAAAAACATTTGTCAGTTTTGTCAATCTGCATTAAAGTAAAAATAGGTCTACAGGTTCCTTCTGACCCTGGTACCACCACAATTTCTACCACTTACTGATTTATACTATTCAAAATAAAATAAATTCAGTTTAATTATGCTGTGGATTAAGCCTTTAAATCAGTAATGTATTTCATAAACTTCACACAACTGTTCAGACTGGACTCAAACTAAATACTGATTTGAGTAAACATTTTAGATTTCATTCATAATTTCCCAGCAGCACCTTCATCATCATCATCATCACTCACCTGAGCCACAGAGCTGTCCCTACCTGCTGACCCTGACTCTCATCAGCTCCTGCATCACCTGAACATGGATTAAACATTAGGGTTTTTTTATTGCCAGCTGAAGTCAGTCAGATTTAAAAAGTGTGATGAATAAATAACAGATCTGGTCTGGTTTCATCAGTGATTGTGAGTCAACAGTCTCATCATCTGATTATTAAAGTTTTCAGACATAAACCAAGCTTTGTTTTATGTTTAAAATATTCTGATAATAAAAAAATCTGCTCTCAATGTAATCATTTTATACTTTAATAAAAACACCCAATAATCTTCTGATGTGATCACATTATTCTTGCTGATAATAACATCACCAGCGGATCACTCTGTACTTTAGAGCAGTGTTTCCCAAAGTTGGGGTCGGGACCCAAACTGGGGTCCCGAAACATCAAGGTGGGGTCCTGAAAAGATTTTCTGAATT